GATGAAGTCCCAATAGTTCATTTTTGCCCTTGCTTCCCTTGCCTTTGGCGATGTTTCTAGGAAGAAGTTGCTTCGGCTGAGGTCAAAGAGGTTGCTGCCGGAACACAGGTTATTTTTGAAGAATAATTAAAAATATAAAACCTAAAAGTTATAATGAAGAGTTTTCCTCTTAGGAATATTCTGATACCTGGTAATTGCTTTTGAGGTAGTTAGTAGTAATAATAATGGTAACAGCTTAAATTTCCTGAGTGCTTTTCTGCATCAGGCAAATTGTGCATGTGATAGAATTTTTCATTTAACCCTAACAGTAACCTTCTGAGGCACTGTTATTAACAGTGATTGACATGTGTATAAACTGAAACTTAAGAGAAGTTGTTAGTCATTCCCAGACCTAGCTGTCAGAATGACCTGGAGAATTAAAACAAGCAAACATAGCCCCAGATCCTACCATGAGCTACCAAATCAGAATCTCTTGGGGAGAGCCTAATCTATATATTCAACAGGCATCCAAAGTGATTCATTTGTAGTGAGTTTATTACTGAAGTTTGGGAATCGCACTGGGTCATGTATTTAACTCATGGTGGCACATTTCTTAAGAATGAGAGCTGGGTTTCAAACCTTAACAACTGCACTATTAGTGAGTTAGTTATTATCAGTGTTAAAGTTAGGTATGAGGTTTTTGGGCTAAATCAACCTTTGTAGACCAGCATGAAACTCTCTAATAGTTATGAGATATATTTCTATATGGAAGAGTTTTGAATTCTAGGCATCTAATTTACAAGTGACCTTTTCAAATACCAGACAAAGGTTTACTCAGAGCAAGATAATTTTGTCATTGGACTGACTGTATTATGCATTACAATAGTTAGCAGGCTGGCTCAGTTGGAAGAACATGTGACTCTTGATCTTGGGGTCATGAGTTTGAGCCTCATGTTGGGTGTAGCGATTACTTAATAAGAAAAACTTAAAAATTTTTTTCAAAAAAAACCCCCAGAATTGGCACCTTTTCTTTACTGTGACAACATATTACTATTCCATATTCATGAAGTATGGTGACACAGATATATATGTATATTGTTTTGTGTGTACTATAGTATTTCCTTGTTGGGGCGTCTGGGTGGCACAGTTGGTTGAGTATCCAGCTATTGATTTTGGCTCAGGTCATGATCTCAGTGTTGTGGGATCAAGCTCAGTGTGGAGTCAGCTTGAGATTCTCTCTCCCTCTCCCCCTCCCACCTGTGTGCTCTCTCTCTCTAAAATAAATAAATCTTTAAAAAAAAAGATTAGTATTGTCTATTTAATAAAAAATAAAACAATACGGGCGCCTGGGTGGCTCAGTTGGTTAAGCGACTGCCTTCGGCTCAGGTCATGATCCTGGAGTCCCGGGATCGAGTCCCGCATCGGGCTCCCTGCTTGGCAGGGAGTCTGCTTCTCCCTCTGACCCGCCTCCCTCTCATGCTCTCTGTCTCTCATTCTCTCTGTCTCAAATAAATAAATAAAGTCTTTAAAAAATAAATAAATAAATAAATAAAACAATACAAAAATAGCACACACTGGTCTTCATTCCCCATCCCCTATCCTCCTCTGTCACACATACAGGTGTACTTTGGTTAAACATCACCAACATAATTTCTTCTCTTAAACTTTTAATGTAAAAATCTGAGTTTCTGTTCAATTTGCAAACATTTAAAAGGCAAATGTGTAGTATTTTGCTTGTTTTAGCATTTATAAGGAAGGAAAGCATTATATTAAGGTAATAATTAAACTTAACACAATTAAAATCTACAATCTAATTTGGTTAGAATAATGATAATTTCCTGAGAAATAAATTGAAATAAATTTGATTTTCTTAGTGTGCTTGTTGTAATTCAGCAGATAGTAATGAACTGAGTTAGGAATGCAGACCATTCAAGTTCACTTCAGAAAACAGCAAGCATGCCATATAGAGAAGAAAGTGAATGTTGACCATTGGATTCAGTGTTGTGCTACCACTTTTCATAGTCTTCACATTTCTGGTCGTGGCTATCTTTGGGCTCACTGCTGTTTTCTGAGTTGTCTTGGTATTTGAGGTCATCTTCATATTTGAGATCATTTGGAGATTTGAAGTTGTCTTGGATTTTGAGGTTGTCTTGGATTTTGAGGTTGTATGGAGATTTAAAGTTGTCTTGAAACTCAAGATTGTGTTGGCATTTAGAGTTGTCTTGGAATTTGGGGTTGTCATAGAAGTCAGGCTCGTCTTGGGACTCCAGTCTGCCATAGACCCTGAGGTCATCAGTGTTGTAGGTATCCCTGAAGTGTTAGTGACAGATAGGAGGAACAGGCTGATGACTGATAGCTTGAACATCATTTTCCTGTTTCAAAATAATTACAGAAATTTACTGACACTTTGAACACAAATCTAAGAACTAGCTTTTTTTTAAAGAGGGGAAAACTGAAGGAAACCTCATTCCAGCACTGGGGAAATGCCAAGCTTTGGTTTAACAGTTTCATAATTTTTGGGGCACCTGGGTGGCTCAGTCTGTTAAGTGTCTGCCTTTGGCTCAGGTCATGATCCCAGGGTCCTGGAATCAAGCCCTGTGTCAGGCTCCCTGCTAACGGGGGAACCTGCTTCTCCCTCTTCCTCTGCTGCTCCCCTTGCTTGTGCTCTCTCTCAAATAAGTAATTAAAATCTTTAAAAAAACAACAACAGTTTCATAGTTTTTTTTAATTATGTTAATCACCATACATTACATCATTAGTTTTTGATGTAGTGTTCCATGATTCATTGCCTGTAACACCCAGTGCTCCATTCAGTACGTGCCCTCTTTAATACCCATCACCAGGCTAATCCATCCCCCCACCCCCCTCCCCTCTAGAACAGTTTTTAAGATGGGAAAAATTAGAGGGATCAGTATCAATTCCTTCATTTTACAGATGGGCTCAGACAAAGGGTGTAAGTTGCCTGAGTATGCATATCTAAAAATGACCAGAACTAGAACTTGAGTCTGACTCTTAGTCCAGAATTCATTAATAGATGTGGAGTGTGAAAGCATAGTATAGACAAAGACCAAAAGTTTAATAGTAAACCATTTTTAAAGTAAGGCTAATTTTCTTTTATCTTACATCCAAATCTAATGGGTTGCCACATTTGAGATAATATAGTTAGCTCATGTTGGTCATGGTTAAATATTCTTTTTTTTTCTTTAACTTAAAGTGCAAACTTTAATTTTAGAAATCTAATATTTACATTTGGTTCTAATACGTAATTCAGAAAATTTCAAATTAATATTACCTTTTGATGTTTTTTTCTTTGAGGATTACAAATTCAGGCTTTCTTCAGTGTCCTGAGGGGGATCTAACTTTTGACTGTATGCTTTTTATATATAATTAGGAAGTCACGTGTTCTGAACTTGACCTGCCATTTGCTCTTTGAAAATCTCCTGTTGGATGTTTTCTAAACAATTGGTATAAACAGACAGACCTTGGCAGAGATCAAGGAATTCAAATAAAGTCTTTCCAAAATCTACTTGCTTATTTTTTTTTAAAGATTTTATTTATTTATTTGTCAGAGAGAAAGAGAGCACACACAAGGGGAGCAGCAGGCAGAGGGTGAGGGAGAAGCAGGCTACCTGCTGAACAAGGAGCCCAATGCAGGACTAGATCCCAGGACCCTGCGATCATGACCTGAGGTGAAGGCAGACGCTTAACCCAGGCATCCCTCTACTTGCTTAAAGAACCCAGTGAATATATCTTTGTTATTCCTCTTATCTATGTATTCATTAGTTAGTTTTTTCACTGGATTGACTAACTAGAGGAATATATTATTTTGCCTGCTGTGATTATCATGACTTTAAATCAAATAAGTATATTAGAGATAGATGTCTTTATTTTTCTTAAAGATCTTGTGTATATGTTTATTGGTAGTTTCTGACCATGGTTATTTTGAAGTATTAAAAATAATTTGGGAATATAGCATTCCAGGCATTTAACAGTACATAATTAGTCTATTAGAAAAGAAGTTAAATTTTATTAATATAAAACTAAATAAGAAAAGGATTGCATATGAAAGTGATACTATCATACTGCATTAACAAAGTTGTTTTTTATTAATTTTTTTTTTTTTTAAGTAGACTCCATGCCCAATGTGGGGCTTGAACTCACAACCCTGAGATCAAGAGTCACATGCTTTGTGACTGGGCCATCCAGGTGCCCCAACAAAGTTTTTTTTGTTTTTTGGTTAAAGATTTATTTATTTATTTTAGAGGGAGAGAGAGCCAAGCAGACTCCCTGCTGATCACAGAGCCTGATGCGGGGCTCAATCCCACCTAAGATTCCCATGAGATCACGACCTGAGCCGAAATCAAGAGTCAGTTGCCCAACCAACTGAGCCACCCAGGCACCCCTCCCAACAAAGTTTTTTAAATACATTAAACCATCCACATTGAAGCATATTAAGTATATTCTTTAAAGGAATTTTGTCTTTTGATTACTTCTTTTCCTTGATAACTAGCATACAGGGAAGTTTGGTTGTATTGTGCTTATGTTTTCATTGCATTGGCCAGCACTCTAAAAATTGCAGGGCTGTGAACAGTGGTGTTGACATAAAAGGAAATTGCTACATAAATGGCAGAAGTACAAGTCAGTACATGTTTCTCACTTGTTTTACTTTGCTATAAAGATTTGTTTTTCTCCTGAATGAATAGAACCAGTGCTTGCTACATCTTATTTATATGGTACATATAATAGAGAACCTCACTTAATTGGAGGTTAGCGTGATTAGACCTAGAAGTCAACATAAAAAGCCTCTTAGCAACTGGAGTAGAAATATACAAATCTGAGTACTCAGGTAATGCACAGATAACTCCTTACTGATGCTTCAAACACTTCAGTCTCAACATATTTAAAATTTAAAATTCAAAGTTTTTCCCTTTCCTGCTTTTGAACCCAGATAGGTTCTTCTCATAATCTCTTTCTCAGTTAATTGTGTCATCACCTAGCCAAATGGCTCTCCAACCTTGGACTCCTCATTATCTTCTTTTTCTTACTAATCTTAAGCTGCCTGGGCCTCGTGATGATAAGTAAAATTTAAAATTCTGAACTCTCCAGCACTCAGATGCTCCTAAACAAAAATCTTTTGCCATCCATTATTTAGGCCTTTAAATACCTCCTGCCTCTGTACATTTGTGCAGTCTTCCCTGTCTGCCCAAAGTACTTCTTCTTCGTTCAAATTTTTGTGCTTCCTTCCAGGTCTAACTCTGATGGCAGTGCCTTTTATGTGAGCCTTCCCTAATTCTGCACTTCAGCATCAGTCATTTTAAGACTTCATACTTTTAGAGCACTGATCAGAGTCTACTTTTTACTATAGATGTATTCTAAATCTTTCTTCTACCACATTCTGGCATTTCACGGTCAGGCATCACCTCTTAACTATCTGTATCCCCTCCACCTGCTAGCACAGTGAGTGCTGGGAAAGAATAGGACACAATAAACATTAGAATTTATGGCAGTATCTCCTTTGTTTCTTCATGTTCAAGGGCTGATATCATTAATAATGTCAAAAATAGTAAGAGCCACTTGGTCATTTGCTGTTTTCCCAAGTGTAAGTTTGCCGATCACAGGTCTCAGTTGAAGTCCCATCTCTATTTTCTGACTGCTCTTTGAGAGGGTTTTTCATTTGCATAATATGGATCATAATGCACATTCATAATCGCTTTCCTGCAATTCTGAGATCCAAAATCCTCTGAAAATGTGAAGTTTTGCCAAAAAAAAGTTTGATACCAAAACTTACTTGGTGGAAATACCTAACCGGCATTGGTGTGAGGCTTTTCATTATTGTTGTTAGTACTATCTGTATTTGTCCCACTTAGTGTACGGCTGGTACTTATATTTGTGTTTCTTCTGTTCCTTCCGGGCACATTTACCATACCGCTCCAAGCATCTTTATAGTCAGGTGGTACTGTGTGACTGCATGCTGGTCAGCAAAAGGTAGATTCCCTTGATGTGTGCCCCTTCCAGGCCTCCTCACCATTCTTCATCTTGTTCTCTTCTGTCAGCACCCACTAGAAACCGAGGGTTCAGAACGGGGTCTTAGACGTGATTGAACTACTGGATGACATGATACGAGTGAGAAATAAACTTCTGTTGTCTTTTGTTGAGGGTTATTTTGGCATTGTGACAGAAGTTCATTTATGCTGTATGCTGGATAACTTGGCTTTGCCTCTCTAGATCCACTCCCTCTACTTCTCCACTCTGTTGTCCCCTGAGAGGCTGACCTGTGTGGAAGATAGCATTGAGCTTCTTTCCTCATTCATTTCCACTCATTTCCCCATATGGGGAATAATGTATTCTTTTGGCTCGCTTCCTGCAAGGTCACTGTGGGTTGACTGCATCCCTCCGTGAAGGTAACAGTTTTTGTTGGGCAGCTCTCTCTGTGTCTGGTCTCAGGTAACTGCTCCCTGCCCTACCCTTCAGGTCTACTCTCTCACTATCTTTTATAGTTTCCCTATATCTCTTAGACTAAACCCTTCCCTCTCCTTTATACACATTCCCTAATAGCCCAATTTGAGTGTGCCACCTGTTTCCTGGCGGAACCCAAACTACTACAAACAATATGTGCACTGTGTCTTCCTCAAAACCTGAACAACTCTAAATTCGGAACTATATCTTGTCCCAGGGGTTTCACATGAGGGCTTGTGAGATCTGTGCCAAGTTTATAGGTTTATTGTGAGTATTAACTGTGATAATATTTGAATGGCATTCAGTACAGTGCCCAGCATATAGTAAGCATTGGGTAAATAGTAGCCAGGATTGATGTAAGAATAGCAACTGTGTTGTTAATTTTTTTATCTGGGAAATCTAAATTTCTCATATTTAATGCTGGAGCTTTGAAACTAGCAAGCAATTATAAGAGCAGTATTTTCCTTTACATACTTGTATTACCTTGAATTGGCCTACCCTTATTTTGGGGGGGGGGTGGTTGTTTCTAGAACTTTCTGCCTTCACATATTCTTTCAGAACTCTTAATGGAGAAAAGTGGTCTTATTTATAAAATCATCTTATTGCTCATAAATTTTATGTAGCAATTTCTTAAGAATTTCAAGCAATTTAAGTATGTTATTCTAGAAACAATTAGGCCCTGTCTTCCCTTCCGTAACTTTTCTCTTTCGTTTTTGGATTTTTGTCTCATGAATAGGACACTTGGATGTTTTCCTGGGTGGCAGTCACGCAAACACTCTTGGCAATGGGAGCACTTTTTGCTTTTTAAAAGATAACCCTCAATAAGTACTATGCCATGTATGCTTATTGCTCCTATGCCTCATGTCCTTTAAACTTTTAAAGTTTTGAAAGTTACGTATGTTTGGTTAGTTCTGAAAGCAGTTAGGGTTTTCAGGATTGACATTTTTATCATGCTACTAGTGGGCTTTTACCTGTATTTAAAAGTAGAACATTTAAAACATTTCAGGAGTGTGTAGCACAAGTGGCTTTCATTGTGGACAGTTACTTTCTTTTGAAACTATTTGTAAGCTTCCTGAGAAAGTGGATGTGCAAATATGCATAAGCAGGCTGTTGTTATGTTAGACTTAAATGTGATACCTTTTAGAATTGTACTTAACCACTTTTCTCTTCCATGGTAAAATACCAGCCTTTTCGTTTTAGAAATCTAACATAGGGAAAATAACACATTTCCCCTTAGTTGCAAAATACATATTCCAAGGGCAAATGTCTGTCTTTGAGCGAGTTTGTTTCCTAAGTTTATAATACTGTAAGTCTGTTACCTAATTTTGGCATGTTAACATTAAGTATTACTGATTTTCCTTCAGAAATTTTTTTATGCTTTATCCTCATATTACAAACTCAGTTTATAGTTTAATCAGTTGTTGAAGCTGGGGTTAGCAAACATTTTTGGTGAAGGAACAAGTTGTAAATATTTTAGGCTTTACAAACCAAAAAGATTTTCTTCTTCTTGGGGGAGGGGAGTTACTTTGTTTTGAACAGTTCTTTAAAAATCTAGGAGCCTGGGTGCCTGGGTGGCTCAGTCATTTGAGCGTCTATCTTCAGCTCAGGTCATGATCTCAGGGTCCTGAGATCAAGCCCCCATCAGGCTCCCTGCTCAGCGGGAAGCCTGCTTCTCCCTCTCCCACTCCCCTTGCTTGTGTTCCCTCTCTCACTGTGTCTCTGTCAAATAAATAAATAAATAAAATCTTTAAAAAATAAAAAAAAAATAAAAATCTAGGAGCCAAGTGGCATGTAGGCAGTATATTGCCTGTGGACCATAATTTGCTCATCTCTGGTCTAGGCAATTACAACAACTTCCTAATTGGATTCTTTGTCACCAGGATATTACT